GTGGAACAGTCCCAAACGGAATCTAGCTGTCGGAGACGTTGTCCTGTTGAAAGACGACAACTGCCCGAGGAGTGTTTGGCCGATGGGACGAGTCATAAGCGCGGAATCAGACAAGAAGGGGTTGGTACGCACGGTTCATTTGAAGACCCAAACCTCCCAACTACGCAGACCAGTTGACAAGGTTGTCCTCTTGCTAGCTAAGGAAGAACAATCGTGCCTCGATAATGAACAATGAAACAGGAAGCTCGTAAGGGCTGAACCTTCATGGAATATTCATAGTCCCTATTTCTTTAAGCGGATTGTGTGACGGACTAGACTCGTTAGCTTTAGCAAAGGACATGACAAGTTATTTTTCATAATTACTACTTTATTTTGTAGCTAAGAACTTTCCATGTTAAGCATCGCTTAAGGGGTCGGGAATGTTACTGCCGTTATGCGTAATGTCACGCACTCATTAGCTAGATCCCGAGAGGCGCTGCGAGTTAAAAAATACATGTGCTCGATCGAAGTGGAGAATCGTTTCAACGCCCGTTTAACGTCATCGTTTATATTATAAGGACACAAACGTAAGTTTTTTTTTTGGTTTCGTTTCTTGTTTGTCTAGCCTTTTTCCGTATTTATAGTTGTAAATTTCCTTTGTTTCCTTTTAGTTTTCGAAACCGTACAACGTTCGTTCAAGATTGTAAAGTCCATTTCATAATTACAAGTACGCGTGTTCAAGTTTGTGTTGTCGTACCGTTTTATGCGTGCACAGCAATACTCTGTCCCTTCAATGACTTATCATGATGACAATGGGAGGGATTCTTGATTTGCAGACATCAGAATGAATGCTGCATACTATTATCTACAAATTCACTTATTGTAAACATGAAACTAGTATTCCAAGTTAAACTTGTACCCTCCCCATCATTGTGCTTTTCACATGTGCATCCCTGCTGCCTTGATGAAAGCCCCCTTAACCCACCAAGAAAACAGGCATGTTTTTTGGGTTTCAACTTAAGTCATATACATGCAGACACACATCATCATCATTATTATATAACATTTCGACACAAACCATTCTCCAAATTCTGAATGGCTTTAACAAGGAAATAATTGGCCTCCTTGTCATTGTCTTCTTCTTGGAACTCCAGGCATTCAAGTACTTCCTGACTTGTCAAAGCTGCTTGCCAAGTATTCAGGAAATAAGCGCCCATCAGGTCTGGATGGGATTTGATAAGGCCAAGAATTCCCAGTGTCTCTAGTCCTTTACGGAACTGATCCAGTGGCTCTTATCGTTTTTTCTGCACATCATGCACAATAAGTGTCTGCATTGCATGATTTCTGTTGAGTATTGTGAGAGGCTTCAGCCATCCCGCATTTATAAGTGCATTCCCAAGAAATTCATCATTAGCAACCTCTTGTAGGTCTTCACTGCCTGCAGCAGCAGTCACCTGTGATTCATGAACATAAGAACATAAAGTTTTCAGTCAAATTGGAAGTGACCATCTCCCAGACTCCATCATCAATATTATTTTGGTGGGGATGAAAAAAGGTTCACTTCCTTATATGCCATTGTGATGATTTTAGATTAGAATGATATGAAAAGTCCTTGTTGTGTTACTGTTTATATATTTAGTGTTTGTTTTGTGTATGGCGAAAAGGTGAATTCTAAGGAAATCTGCGATGAAATATACATTTTTTTGGAAGCAATGCTGAGTCAACATTGTTGTTCCAGATTAAAGCTTGACTATCTCTAAAAACGCATGGTTACCCCAAGCTAACATTAAGGGTATTTTTAAGGGGTTATACTGTTGCTATGGTAACCACTTATGGCAAAAAAAATTATGACATGCTCACTAATGATTGAGCATTTGTGTCATACCATTACTATACTATCGTAGCCTTCATCACAAAGTCAAGCAAGCGCTGTGGTCTCGGAGCCAAAAGGTTCTCATGTTTTTCAAGCCTGTACTCACTGCAGCGTGATCTGAGCTCTGTGCTCTACATTGGTATTGAAACAGCGAAAGTGAGTCGTAGGGAGAATGGCGAGAAGAAACGTGCTTTAAAGGGATTGCCACTTTATCAGCCAGACCCATTTGTTGATTCTGATGGCATTGTGTGCGTAGGAGGCCATCTATGGCAAGCACGATTGGAGTACCAAGACAGCCACAAATGCGACCCCCCCGAAACTGCAGAACAAACAGTCTGAGAGCTGAACCAAAAAGGCTTTTGAAATATCTTATCACACCCAGCTTTTGTGCAAAGTTTCAGCCAAATTGGTTGATGACCACTTTTGGCCCCTAGAACAACTTCTCAGACAGGGACACTTAAACCCTATTGCAATACAGACCTGCCTGCAAAGTGACTTGAATCTAGCATCTAATTGGTTTCAGGCTAATGGTGTGACATCTAACCCAAGCAGACATCTCTCTTGAGGTTTGGAACTGACTCTAATGATCTCTCTGTTTCACTTAATGGCACTCTCATCGATAGCGCTAATACAATGCAACTCCTTGGTGTCAGCATCGATGAAAATCTTAATTTCATTCATGCTAAGGACACTGTAAGAAAAATTAGCCCTAAGTTGCGAGTTCTGAAGTGTTATTAATACCTCATCCCTACTCATGCCAAGTACAGGCTGTATCTAGCTTATTTTCTCCCACATTTAACCTACTTTTCCACCATCCGGTTCCACTATGGAAAGTGAAATGCTGATATAACTGAGAAACTCAATGAATCCATCCTTTATGTGTGATTTTCTATTATTCGAGCTTGTGACACGTGATTTACACGACTTACTAATTAGATTTCCATGATAGGTGATTGCTCTTTGACCTTGAAGGATACCAAGGAAATTCAAAGGAAATAGAGTCTTGACAAAGATGAATAAACCACGCCAGCCACGTTTTCTGGTCTTGACTGTCCTTGCTGACCTTTGCTTGACCTTTGATGACCTTGATCTTTGTGGTAGGTCCAAACAATCATAATGCAATAGGCTTAAGTTTATACACAAGTTTCATAAAGGTGGACATACTGCAAGGCCTGGTGAGAACATGAAAACAAGGTCTCGAAGGCCTCAAAATTTAACGGTATAAATATGGCATCCTCTTCGAGTAGCTAATGCAATGATTCTCCAAATGCGATTTTTCTCATGGAAGATGATATTCCAGGTGCTCCTCTGCTTAAGGTGGCTCGACTGGATTTTTCAAAAGTCATACTGTTCAAGTTTGAAAATTAACTACGACGCCACGAGCAACGTTATGGTAAAACAATTACCACAGCTGTATTACAAAAAGATGAAAGTTTGTTGTGATTGGTGTTATGTTGACATCGGAGTTTCCATAGCAACGTAATGACGTCATGACAGTTTTTGCTTTCGTTCGTATTTCTCAGTACCATGAGGTTTTTTTCGTAAATCGCTCACTGGAGCTTTTATCTCTTGTTATTGCCTAGATGTTGGCCAAGTTTGAACAAATTCAATGAGAGCATTTTTGAAAATTTTGAGGATGAAGTTTTGAGGGTTAAAAATACAGTAAAAACATTGTTGTCGAGATAATTTGGTGATATCTAAAAGAAAACGATGCGCCTTGGGAATGCCGCTATACCACGTAGTTGCTTTATTCCACTTCAAATTGTATGTAAAAAGTTGGCGAGATTGCTCTTACCGATTGTGAGAAAAAAAAAGGGTTTGATGCCTTTGCATTCAGATGCTCTTGTTGTCATTTTTGCGTATAATTTGGTCTATGCCAACAAATATTGTAATATTTTAAAAACTGCTCGATAGATTTTTTTTAAAAATCGTCAGTGCTAAGTTGTATTTTCATTGTATACGGCCTGCAGTTTTCAAGGTTATTGAAAATGTGGAAGTTAATAAAATTGGGCCTCAAAAGTACTAATTTGTTATCCCCATATCGTGTTTACAAGTGAGCGACCTCATTATTCACAGGCATTGTTTTAAATTCTCATATCCGCGTGCACAACTTCAGCAAAAATGAATTTGCATCAATTAGAAAGTTCGACTGCATTCGGAGATTTTTTCCGAAACATGTTAATATAAACTGAAATTTTAATGAGCTGATTTTTAAAGGCATTTGTCACGCAATTATGCTGTAATGCAGCAATGCCGAGGGTATCTCTGACGAGGAAACGGAAAACTGTTGCTCTGCAGAAAAACCAACTGACCGAGCACTCGCAAAGAAAGCTCCACGGAGCTCGTGAAAACAATTAACAGTTGTCTCGGAGCTAGAAAATCATTCACAGACGAGGACAGACGAGGAAAAAAAAGCCATATATTTTGTTTATTTATTTTCTCACCGTGGCATAGTCGCGTTTCCCTTTATTTAAATTTGTATTACATGTCTTATCTGAAATGTTCATTTAATTACCAAGTATTATTGTTTAACAATTATAATATACAGAATCATATATGTATTTATATAAGCGATTATTCTTAAATAAATATTATAACTTTAACAAACGTGAATCAGGAAGATAAAAGTCAATAAACAATTTTCTGAACAAACTCTGATATTCTTTCTTTTTTCTAATTTTTACATCGATCACCTGAAACTGCAAGGAGAGGCATTGCTGCCAACTAATGATAATAACATTCACCACTGAGATATTACATCTCTAAACAAAACTATAATTATCTAATGTCTCCTTAGAAAAAAAATACTAATAGCCAACATAATCTTAGCAAAATAAAAAATATACAACAAGGGGGTTTGGTTCGGCATTTGCGACAGTATTATCCTGTAAGTTGTCTGTAACAAACTTTGACGAGCTTTCTTTTTCTTGCTTTTAAATCATAATCACCAAGACATTCCCGCCGGTAAATGAAAACATCGATATCATTCATCAATGAAAACCTTAATCTAAGATTGCATTCGTACAAAATAGTTAACCACTGCTGTGAGTATGTTTAGGTTTTTCGTCACCCTTGGCTTACTCCGCTTTTCTTGAATTTGCTCAAAGGACTCTGGAAGAGCTAGCACCGCTAACAGAGCTTTCGTTCCACCTTTCTTGTAAACACCCTGCATTGTTTCGTAGTCAAGCCCGGCCTTTCCCATTTTCTCCTTCATTCCTTCGGAGACCGGGAGGCGATGCAGCGTGGACTTTCGGGATTTTGCCTCTTGTGCTGAGTTCATTTTTTTTCGAACAGTTCTGCAGGAACTGCGTGCGTCTGAATTCTTTCAACAGATACTTGCAGAGGGGACTGAAATAAAATACGCGACAAGGCGGTAGCATCTTCTTGTGCATCATGTGCATCAAACTTTTCTTTCAGTAAAACTTCGTAAACGTCGGACAAAGATTTGCTCTTGCAGGAATACAAAGGGCTACCTTTCTGCTTCATTTCTGTCGAAACAATCTTTAGAGAGTCCACAAGGACAACACCAGTAGCCAGGAACAATTCAAGGAGATTGTTCCTTCTCAGAGCATTGATCAGAACTGGGAAGTCAAACTTTTCACCATTGTGTGCAATAAGGACAACTTGGAAGGAACAGGACTGCTGTTTTAGGAAACTGCAAAAATCACTGAGACCCTGAGTTTGCGATACGGCCTCCAGTTCTTTCCCTCTTCTCAATAATGTTTTTCTGCCCTTACAAAACTCTACACTTATACCGTGGACTTGCGTCGCTGACTGGCCAATAATTCGATTTTCTGGAAAAAGGTTTACCGAAAATGATTTGGTTTCAGCATTTGGTGGAATGCATGAAATCTGCAGAATATCCGATTTCCGGTCTAGACCTGTTGTTTCTATGTCGAGGGCCAAATGAAGAAAACGTGAACGTTGTTGGATTACAGGTAACTCGGAGACTTCCTGGCTGTTCCCTTCGTTGGATTTTGGGAGATCATCGGTATAATCACTAAACTCCTCCTTTGTCAGACATGCCTTTAGATCGTTCATGGTTGCATTCGTGATGGCGGCTTTCTCTTTGTCGCTCTGTTGCCAGCCGATCCCTGTCTCGTACGTTGCTGACTCGCGTTTCTCAGCAGAATTGGTCTTTTGATTCTTTTTCTTTCGAGAGTTTCTTCTCGCTTTTTGAACTCTTTTGTTGACTTTCGCTCGCCATCCCTTTTCCTTTTCTTGTCAATTTTGTCGGTGTTCTGTTCTGTGATATGCGTCTGTGCCAGACCCATTTTTTCGTGGCTAATGTCAGATATCTGTTCCCTTTGTTAAACTGAGCTATTCCTGCAGCGGTTCTAAAGTCGCTGCTTTGCGAGCCTCCATAATGTCTTATTTTCGGCGCTTTCGAGCCAATGGAACTGTTTACACTTTCATTTCTCTGTGATGAGCCCGCTGGGGCCAGCTTTTTCACGGAGTCATGAGAAAGAAATGGTCGAATAGCTTCTTCCAAGGTTGCACGTAAATCTTCGCCCGTCAGGTCCTTGCCTCCTGGAAGACTTCCGTGCTTGTAGCCTTCAGGGTCTTTTTGTATCCACACCAGGAATTGCTGCAGTTATCGTGTTTGCCAAACGCGTGTGGTACGATAGAGGTGAGCCCTTCGAGTAATGAGGATGGCTGGCCCTTGTTTTGGTTAACACAGTAGGTGAAGCTCTTTTGGATGTAGGATATCACGTTAGGAGTCAACCCTTTAATCTTTCCTTTAGCCATGTATAATCTCGTTCCCAGTGTACGACTTGCATGATTCACATCACTCCATTTATCAATGTCGTAGTTAACCAGCGTTTTGAGATGGTTTTCTGTGACGCTGTCGTCATCTCCCACATAAGTCGAGTAAATCACTCCACTTTTCGGGGCGCTTGAAAAAAGCTCGACTGCTACGTTTGCCTCCATACTTTTCGAGGATCCTTCGTGGTTTTTTCGACAGTCGTGGCTTTCTGCTTCTTTATTCTTTTTCTCCGCTTCGTCACAAACCCTACACATTTTATTGCGAGTAGCATAACTAATGACTTTTCCGGTATGTAACCCCACTGCTGTGCCCACTCCTGACGACGAGTCGTGACAACGTCCTCGCTTTCTCCAGCCCATATCGTACGACACTCCGAGTTTTACTACTTCCTCATTTCCAGTCGTGGACAACCGCTTTTCTTCCTCATTAAACTGATTACAAGAATCTTTAGCCACTTCTTCTACTGCTTTTCCACTTTCTCTTTCCCGCTTTTTGAAATTGCTTGAGGAAATTGATGGTACACCAAGTGTTGTAAGAAATCCAGAGGTATGCGTATGTCCCAATCCACAATGCAGTGCACCAAGCCCAGCACGGGAATTAGCGTCGAAGGTGGGAGGGCCTCTTTTTTCCAGTACGATGATGCTCGGCCGGGCGTACGATGTTAATAAACTCACATTGTGTGCATTTAACTTTTAGTACTGGACACACTCCTTCCGGGCGAACATTAAAACTATTACGTAAATCTAGGGGTCCTTGTTTACAATTCACACACTCGCTCAAAGCGGTTGTTAGCATTTCCAAATTAACCACATAACACTGATCCATGTTTACAGCTTTTGTGTACGGCAGACTTGATCTCAAGGTGGGTCCCTCCGGAACATTGTCGGCTGTATTGCCTAAACTTATTTCATTTCTAACTTTATCACTCCATCGCTGCTCTCTCATTGCCTTGCATTGTTCTTTCCTAACCGTTTTGGATCTGTAATTAGCTGGACGCCCTGGTTGAGACTGTAGCTGCTCCTCAGCATCCTGTAAACAAAATTTACTAGTTATATAACAAATCACTGACAAATGGAGACCCTCATTGAAATAATGTAGAAAATCGTTATGAAAACATCCATACCTGTGATTCACTTCGTCTAGCCTTCTTTCCTACGGCCACGTTGTTCTGCAGAACAGCAGTTTTCCTTTTTCTAGTCAGAGATTCTCTCGGCATTGCTGCATTACCGAATAATTGCGTGACTAATGCTAAAATTTCAGTTCATATTAGCATGCTTCGGAAAAATATCCGAAAGTAGTCGAGCTTTCTCTTTAATGCAAATGCATTTTTTCGCTAAAGTTGTGCACATGGATATGAGAATTTAAAACAATGTCTCTGAATAATGAGGTCGCTCACTTGTAAACACGATATGGGGAGTAACAAATTAGTACGTTTGAGGCCCAATTTTATTGACTTCCACATTTTCAATAACCTTGAAAACTGCAGGCCGTATACAATGAAAATACAACTTAGCACTGACGATTTTTAAAAAAAAAATCTATCGAGCAGTTTTAAAAATATTACAATATTTGTTGGCATAGACCAAATTATACGCAAAAATGACAACAAGAGCATCTGAATGCAAAGGCATCAAACCCTTTTTCTCACAATCGGTAAGAGCAATCTCGCCAACTTTTTACATACAATTTGAAGTGGAATAAAGCAACTACGTGGTATAGCGGCATTCCCAAGGCGCATCGTTTTCTTTAGATATCACCAAATTATCTCGACAACAATGTTTTTACTGTATTTTTAACCCTCAAAACTTCATCCTCAAAATTTTCAAAAATGCTCGCATTGAATTTGTTCAAACTTGGCCAACATCTAGGCAATAACAAGAGATAAAAGCTCCAGTGAGCGATTTACGAAAAAACCTCATGGTACTGAGAAATACGAACGAAAGCAAAAACTGTCATGACGTCATTACGTTGCTATGGAAACTCCGATGTCAACATAACACCAATCACAACAAACTTTCATCTTTTTGTAATACAGCTGTGGTAATTGTTTTACCATAACGTTGCTCGTGGCGTCGTAGTTAATTTTCAAACTTGAGCAGTATGACTTTTGAAAAATCCAGTCGAGCCACCTTAAATGAAAGCCCGAGGAGCTGAAAAATGCAGAACTATGATCGTGGCTGGAGTGCCATGGTGATTTGAGAAAAAGGTCTGAAGATGAAAGGGCACCTTGTGAAATGAGTGTATGAGTATGTCATAACTGGCAGATAGAAACATTACATTGTTGACCCAGATCCAGACAAGATTTACAGTTGCAGAAAGGAGTGACTGAGCACCTTTACTGATGTTAGCAGAGAAGAGGGTGTTTTGGTGCAGTTTCCCAACAAAAGTTGGGAAATGGGAATAAATTCTTATGCATAAGGTTTAGAATTATATAGCACCACAGCAGGTATGTAGTATTTTCTTAAAGCAATCTAAACTATAAAATTTACATAAAAGCAATTTTGCTATTCCTAGTTTCAATTCAATAAAATACAGAAAGCACACTTTAAGACTTTAGGACCCCATTTGTAGGGAGAAATAGAAAATGAACTCAAAAGCAAGACAAGCCTTGCAGCATTTTAAAAAGCTATTCGTAAAGTGAATATTTTTAATATTTAAGATAACAGTTGTAATTGCACTGCATCTCAGTCTTAACCAAAGTCCGCATTCTTATTATATTGATTTTTCTTTAAAATATCCCATTTCCAATATATTTAAAAATAGATTACTTAATATTTTAATACATATTTTATAGTTTATATATTTAAATTTTATTTCTTAATGTATATAGCTTATTATTACTCTTTATATACATATTAAGGTAGAGTGCCCCCAATTAGTTCTAATGCTAAATACAGAGACACTTAATAAAGTTTATGTATTTATGTATGTCCTATTACAATGTTAGATAGGTTAAGGTATGACTAAAAGCCCTCTACAGTTTTTTCAGGAAAATATCCTTTCATAATAACGAAAATTTTGTAAAATCGTCTTATCAGGTGCTAAATTATTGAATGAGTTTAATCATTTCATACATAAATGCACATCATTCTACCGCCTTCAAATTACTAAAATCATCTTTTGCAATCTCTAAATATGTTTTAGAAGAGATTTTGAAAGGTGTTAGGTCTTTCTGGTAAATGGTATAATTTAATCTTGACCACATAAATTTTACTGCTGTAGAGGTACATGTACCTCATAAATAAAGCTAATTTTCAACATGTGCAAAACCTCCAAATGGCTCAAGCTTCTGGTGGATGCAATTCAAAAGGTTAATGGATAGATTTCTGTAAAAGTTTCTCTAGGCAATTGATTGTCGGCAACATGAGAGGTTTTCAAAGTCGGTCAAAAATGAAATACTTGACTTCCTGCGATCATTGTTAATTTACAGGTCAGACAGGTATTTTACCCTGAGTCAATTGTCTTGATCCATTTCAAGCCAAAAAAAGCGCAGGGAATAAAGCAATGAAATATTCTAACCTTTCTTTGTTGTAGAAGGCAGCTTTAATACCATTTTAGTGTGGTTTATTTGTTGCTGTTCATGAATCATTGTCAACTTCTGTACAGGTGGTTAGATGCACATTTATTGGCAGGAGTCAAAATGTTCCATGTTACCAGGTAAAAACACTCTTTAATCATCTTTCGTGATATCATTTCACTGGCACATCTAATCAAAA